GATTAAATTCGAGTACTCGATTATAAAAAATCCTCAAATGTATTTTGCTTGTTTCGATTAACTGGCAAAATACCGGAAATGGTGCATTCAACGGACGAGAATCCATGAAAAGCATCATCAGAAGGTTTTCTAAGGCTGCGTGAAATATTAAAACCATTTAAAAAATCATAATAAAGCATAGTGATATTGTGAATTCACAAAGGCTGCGATTCAATTAAATAAATATATATGCGTTGCCGGTTTAATATGCGCTTTATTTATATGCGTGTAGGTTACGTGCATCTCAGAGCAGCTTCGTTCACAGTAAATGCTGCTCCACACAAACAGTTATCATTTACATGTGTGGCACCATCTCAAAGTCCATATTTGCATATGCTGTGAGTCTGAATTGCTTATAACGTTCATCTGGGAATTTATAAGGTAAATCATTTATAAACCTACACCAACACAGGAAAATAGATCACTATCTTTCTAAATACGCTAACGGTTTTTGCTAACGGAGTTTGCATGTTTTGATGTCCACATGTTCTTGTTCAAGAAATGACAGTGGCTGTAGCATTTCTATCAAGTATTATAGAATTAAAGGTTGTTCACTCAATATAAAAAAAAGCATTAGATCGCGCAGTAAAATGTAAAAACAATTTTCAGGCTGTTGGCGCCCTCTTCAGGCATTTGCTATAATACATAATGTCTATAAGTTATGATTATATTGTTTTATTGTTCAATAAAACCATATGATTTCTTGCTGTTGATATTTTAACTAATTTTAAACAATTATCATTTCCTCATTACTAGTATAAGTATTTTAAGTCATTTAAAATCTGTTGTTTGCTTAGGTCTATTTTTATCACAAAAAATTATCAGATTTTTCGATTAATCGGCAGAATAATCGACCGATTACCAAAATAATCGTTAGTGACAGCCCTATAGTATAGTCCTTAAAATAAAGTGTTACCTGGTTTTCTTATTACTACCTGTGTATTTTGGTGATTATCAGAGTATTATAACGGTACAAAAGCACAATATATTTGTTTTGCTTTGGTAGGTTGGTATATTAACATGACACTCTATAAGTTAATAAAATATACTGTAAATTTAGTTCAATCTGTAAAACCTAAAATGTTCCTACTGTGTTTTTTTCCACTGCCAGTTTTTTATTGCAATTTTTTTGTTTATAGTGTGGGAAATGACGTTTTTACCAGCTGCTGGCCTCGCGGTCCCCATCCTGCATACTGCAGATGAGCGTTTCGCACTTCTGGAGGGTTCAGAATCCACGTTTCCCTGTAAAAGACAAGCAAAGCCATTACTAATCAACTAGTTGTATACTGCATGACAAGTAGACTAGTTGACCATACTGACCCAGACAGACAGACTGATTGCCAGACTGGCAATCAGTCAAACATTCATGTCTTCAGAGGGCTAACAGTGCACACTTCCTCTACCTGGTGCAGTGGAGCGTGTGCCAACAGATATTGATTCCATCACGGTGTACTACACAGCCCAACACAACTGCACGGCGAATAAAGCACCATGAGGGAATTCCTGCGGCAGGAAATCTAACAGTGATAGTATATCCCAGTGCGCTGTTAAATCCGGCCGGGGCAGCGGCCCAGCGCTGTGTCAGCATCTGTTCCGTCTGACAGAGCTCATAAATATAGATGCTTTATTCTGCTGTTGTGTGCAATGGCTCTGTGCACTGCAGGCCCAAAAATTACAGGTGACACGAGCTGTACGTCTCTGTGCTAATCATGGGACAGACAGGCTGGGAAATCGTTGGTAGGACCACAGGATAGCAGTATGGAATGGATTCAGTTCTATGAATGGCTTCGACATGTGACGTGAGCAGCGAAATGCTGCATCGATGTTTTCCTTGGTTTATAATGACAAATGGACTTTGTAAACTAATGCGACTGGTATACGAGCTCAGCGACTTACGGAGTTTCCAGACTGCAAATGATGTAGTCCGCAGTGAAGGAGTGCTCGTAAACCTGAGAGTTTGAACAACACAGAGACAAACAGAGACAGAGAGAGAAATTAAATTGTGGAAGAACAGCAGTTACCGCCACTACAAGCACCAAAAAGCTTTATTAGCAATAACGTTTGCGAGGCGATGCATTACAGTGACATAGCAGAGTTTAAGGGTGATTTTAGCCACAATGTGAAGAGGACAGATATTTTACCACGGTATAGTCACAGTAACACACCACCTCAAATGGCTTTTTGGATTTTAAAACAAAAGCAAAATGTAAAATACACCAATGTTTAATAAATAATACATTTAGTATAATTACAGTAAAAAGCAAAAATACAGTAAAAAATAAATACACTAAAATTTCACATGCTCTAAATAAATAAATAAAATAAATAAATAAATAGAGTGAAGTATTCAAATCATTAGGTCTGAATTGCATTTAATTCTAAAATGCGGATCTATTACCTGATTTAAAAAAAATGTGATTTGGACATAATGACCTGAATATCTATCTATCTATCTATCTATCTATCTATCTATCTATCTATCTATCTATCTATCTATCTATCTATCTATCTATCTATCTATCTATCTATCTATCAACCAATCAAATCAAATCAAATCAAATCAAATCAAATCAAATCACCAACCAACCAATCAACCAATCAATCAACCAATCAATCAATCAATCAATCAATCAATCAATCACACTTAGCGGATTATTTTGTCTCCAAAGTAACTTCCAAAAGAGAAATCAATTTGTGCTGCTAAATCAATTTGTCAAAGAGCCAACAATATTTGTAATATACAAAGGCAGGTTTATTAGACAAGGAGATTAGAAAGCAAAGGAAAAGGATCAACACAGAGAAAGTGTTTATTTTTATTTCTGTACATGATTAAAATATTGAAACTTAATTTTTTTGATATTACAAGGCTAGTTTAAGTTGCAAAATGTTATGATATACACCCCCCCCCCCCCCATAAATATTAAAATTAATAGTTTACAGTAAATTGTAATAAATTAATGTTTTTGAAATTATGTAAATTAATAATTTATGAATAAAAATAAACTTCTCACCTTGAAAAATATATTTTGAAATATTTGTAGCATTCATCTGGTTATTTACATATAGTATTTGAAAATAAGGATTCATTCATTATTAATGAATATTACTTTTTAAATGATGGTTACACAAGTTTAAGTTACAAAATTTTATGAAATCCCCCCCCCCCCCCGCCATAAATATTGTAATTAATAGTTTACAGTAATTTGTAATAAATTAATGTTTTTGAAATTATGTAAATTAATAATTTATGAATAAAAATAAACTTCTCACCTTGAAAAATATATTTTGAAATATTTGTAGCATTCATCTGGTTATTTACATATAGTATTTGAAAATAAGGATTCATTCATTATTAATGAATATTACTTTTTAAATGATGGTTACACAACATGACATACTAATAGTTTAAGTTAGCAAAACTTTATTTATTTATATTTGCTTTTAATATAAAACTATGTATTTATATTTTATTTAAAAACAATTTTTTTTTAAATAACAAATATAAAGGCTAGATTTTGTAATTATTTTTAAAATAAATAAACAAATAAATACTAAACAACTCTACAGTACATTAGCCTTTCTGTAAGCTGCATCTTAGTGCATTAATATAGAATTCAACTAATGTGTGGTCACAGGTGTTCTTCAAATATGACACATACAATCAGATTTCAGAGGCAGAACCGACTCATTTCATAAAATCCTAATCCATCGTTTCTGAAGAAGGCAGGAGTGCTGCTGTATCACTCTGAGGACAGTGTCAACAGCTGTCAATGAGCCAGAGGGCTGACCGCAGCATATGCTCACAGCTGACATGAGCTTGACACGTGTGCTGTAGCGGAGCTGTTAATACTGTCAAAGATTAACATTCAACACCTGTACTCAGCACCTCCCTCTGTCTTACAGATGCAGAGAGATGGAGAGCTCCTTTGTGAAGGGCAAGCAGCACCATGACAGAGTTTGAGAATGAGGGGCGTTATGAACGTATGTGTGTGTGTGTGTGTGTGTGTGTGTGCGTAAGCATAGGCAATGACAGCTGGGGGACGAGGTTGTCATCCATCAAGGTGATGTTGGGACAGGCACTGAATAACAAACTAGAGGCAGTGCTCACACTCTTTTCTTTGGCTCACTCTTTCTTGTCATGTGTGTGTGAAGTGCTCTGGTGTCACTGTCCCAGCGCTCATGACACCTTCTCCTCCGTCTCTTCAGCTCTGTACGACGGCTGCCCAGATCAAACTAACTCGTCACCTGCGGTGTCCGACTCTAGTGTCCTTCAGAGTTTGTGCTTTCATCATTTCTTTGCACACTAAAGCTTTAAGTGCAGTCTGTAAGAAGACAGTCAGGTTTGTTTGGTTAATGTGGAAGATGTTTCCTGAAATGAGGTGTGCAGCAAGGAACCGACTCTGTGTTAGACTGGATATTGTGGTTTGGGTTACTGTCCAAAAGATTAAACTGAAAAATAACAATTAATGCCAACAAAATGGTCAGAATATATATATATATATATGTGGAAGATGTTTCCTGAAATGAGGTGTGCAGCAAGGAACCGACTCTGTGTTAGACTGGATATTGTGGTTTGGGTTACTGTCCAAAAGATTAAACTGAAAAATATGCCAACATGCCAACAAAATGGTCAGAATATATATATATATATATATATATATATATATATATATATATATATATATATATATATATAAATGAATATATAAATGGTTACTTCAGTACTTCAGTAGTTCAGTAACATATCTTTGACACTGATAATGTACAGTGTATCTGGAAACTATTCACAGCGCTTCAGTTTTTCCACATTTTGCTATGTTACAGCCTTATTCCAAAATGGATTAAATGCTTTATTTTCTTCAAAATTCTACAAACAATACGCCATAATGACAACGTGAAAGAAGTTTGTTTGAAATCTTTGCAAGTATATATAAAAAAACACATGTACATAAGTATTCACAGCCTTTGCTTCATAGTTTTCAACTATGAATTTTCCATCTGAATTGGATAAGGATCATTTAGTTAAACTGCAGCGCAATAGTTGAAATACAACTGATGAACTACTTTAGAACTGAAGAAATTTCCTTTACATTTTAACTTTACATTTCAATTTCAAAGTCTGGAAATCACACTTTAAAATTCCCTGTTATGTCCAGGCTTTCTATTATTGTGGAAGCTCTGGTTTTTGGTGCCGTCTTCTATTGAATTGTTACCTAGCTAGCAACACCTGCGGCTAATTCTTACAATCATGCAGACACCCTGTGGTTCGGAGCCATACTGTTTAACACAATATGAAAAGAGATGGGGGTGAGGGTGGAATAGAAGCCGAGTTCAGACCAACCAATCAAACCAAGTGTGAAAACAGCCTCTGTCCTCCTCTCTCTCGACTGGCAGGTGTGTGTGTGTGTGTGTGTGTGTGTGTGTGAGAGAGATTGCTGGGTTCCTGTCACTCCAGCGGGGTGTATTTTTGATCTGGTAAGGTGGTGGAGTGTGACAGCCCTTTCACATTGTGCCATGATTACTTTCATCTCAACACACACATACAACACCCAAATAAACACAGGCCTCACCAGCTGCACGTTGTAGGCCAGCAGAACGAGTTTCATATCTGGGGAAACCTCATATTTGCTGGCTTTGTACATTTCCTGGGGAAAAAAAAAAGAAACGAGAAAAGGTAAATTAGACTTTATAGAAAGCATAGTTTCATTACCATATTCCTTAAACGGCTGTGACAGATCGTGGGGAGAGCGTGGCATTAATCAGAGCTGCCACTCTTTGATTCTCAACAAACATCATGTTCTGTGTCCTTGCCTCCACTGTTTTGCATCCCACCAGCCCCACTTTAATGATCTGAAGCTGTTAACAAGTTACACAGAACAGTGCACTAATGATGGATGCGTTCATCAGCTCTATTAATAACAATAGAACTGTCGTTCCTGTGATGTGCTGTATGACGGTGGAGTAATTCATACTGTAGCGCATGCTGATGCATGACTCTACTTGCATGTGCTTAAGGCACAATGAGACATTCACAATGCATTTATCTTTCATAATGTGACAAATTCATGAGGAAATAATATAAGGTGGGAGTTGATTGTATCTATCACCTTTGATTGGACTATTGTGTTTTGTTTGTTTTTTGATGCACTTTCTGATCACTATGAAATTGTATATTGTACAGTAGATGTGCTATTGGCAAGTGCATTGAATGTTTAAATGAAGCATATGATTTAATCCATATTAAACCAAAAGTGAAACCATAACTTGACATTATTACAAAAACACGTTAAGAAACAGTCCTGAAAGTGTACTCTTAAGAGCACAGTGCATTTCATTAATATTATATTATCTGCAAGTACAGTTGTTGTTATATATATATATACTTTTGAGATTTGAAGCACACTACAAGTGCATATTCAACACGATTAAGTGCACTTCTTTTCACAAGAACGGCTCAATGTCAGGGACATTGTTATAAATACATTTTGGAAGCTATACTATACATTTCTATATGTGTAAAATGCCTCTAATGAGGAAGAATGACTTGCACCTTAAATGTTGGTATTATACTGTTTAATATTATTTCCCCCACATGCAAAAGTTATTTAAGAGTTACATTTTGAAAATAAACAATTGTGTGTAGAATATGGTGACCCCAAAAATATCTTAACTTAATGTATAACAGCATATCAAAACAAGTGTCATTTATTCTAAAGAATAAAGCACAACTACAATTTCAGACCAATTCTTTCACAAAAGAAATAATAAAACAAAAGATTCCAGACTTTTTAAAGCACGGCACTTTCTAGTTGTCAGATGTTGTGGATCATGGTTGATAGTTAATGAGATTCTCTACACCTGTGATTCTCTGCTGTGTGAACTTCAGGAGAACTGACTTCATACATCCACTTAAAATCATCGAAACACCAGATGATTAGAAGTAAATGACCAAACATGATGAAGGAAATGAAGCTAGTGAAGAGAAAATACATTTTTAAGTATGACTTAATACTTTTTGGAATCACTTTGAACAGATGAATCGTTCACAAATAGTAGCAATTTTGATTTTCATATGTCTTCATAGGAATATTTCCCAGGTGAAAAAAAGTGCACTTCCATAATGTACTTAAAGTGCTCTATTTTCATGCACTAATTTTGTGCTTAATATACTAAAAATGATTCTTTAGTACTTCTTAAGGTAATCGTAAAGAATATCTAAGTGTACTCAACTGAGATATTTTGAGACACCATGAATATGAACTAAAATGTGCTTTAACATACTATCTCTGTATTAAAAATTTATTTAGTTACCACTTGTAGTACACTTGAGTGTACTAGTGTATAAAAGATGGGTTCAGGTGTACTACAAGTGGTAAAATAAAATTTTTCATAAAAAATTTAAAATTTAACCCTCAGGCCTTGCATGATGTAGATGAGTTTGCGGTAACACTTTCTATGAAGCACGTATTTATAATAACATTATAAGGGTATTCTTAAGGCATTATTATAACGGGGCTGATGAGACGTGAGATGTGTGGATCCATCTGCAAGCTTTTGTTAAAGAGACGTGGTATAACAGGCAGGGTCGAACAATGGCAAACAGGTATATGGCGGGCAAAAACACAAGAATAGTCCTAGGGCTAGCGTAGGTCACCGATCTGCAGACAGAATCACAGGGGCGAGACAAGAGGGAGAAATCCAGGAAAACAGGCAAAGATCAGAAACCGCAAAAACAGGCAAAGCAAAACAAGGAAAACACAGG